AGAGGTTGGATGTTGGTTGGCTGCGTTCTCACGTCCGTTCACTCTCTCGCTTCAGATTCGAGGGGCACTTGTTGAATTTCAGGGGTCGCATTTTAGGCTTTGCAAATAAATGCGCTAATAAATGAGAATGTAGTATCACTGAGCTCGACCAGGAAACTCGTAACAGCCCAATTAACGTATCTTTCATGCGTTAATTCTCTCGAGTGATGATACGTAATCGAGTAGACCGTATCGTAACGTTCGAACAAATTGAAAAAACAAAGAATGATTTTCTCCATTTTGCAAATATAGCTTCTATTATGTTACATGATATCTGGCTAATAGCCCGACGGCATTATACGCTATTTGTAACTTGTTGCGTATGTATAAATCTTTAATTTGTCGTTATATACATATTCATATTGAACATCGTAATAGTTGTTGATTGTATGCGCATTTAAAAAGAAACTGTTGTCACAAAGGGAAAGGAATAAATGTTATGTCTCATTTATTTTTTTAAAGTCGCGTATTTTATACATGTACTTCGAGAAACAAAAATTGAATTTGATTACAACATTATTACATTAGTTAGTATAGTACCGTTTTTCTTTAATAATTGCGATTGATTTTGATACGTGACATTTTACAAAGTCATGAAACAGAACCTTCTAAGAAATATAGAATACCATTGTTAACTTATATCCTACCTATCTTTCGAGAGATAATTCCTTTGTATTATAGGTAAAATATATAGTGTTAGAATAAAGTGTTTTTTTTTTCTTTCTAAAGACCCTAAAGCTGTTGAAAGCATTCCTAGAAATCATTGAATGAAAGTTTTGTTTACTTTCACATGTTCGCACACGAAATATCACGCACGTTATGTTGATGCTTTAATGCTAATTTGGAAAATGTTGGATTTTAAAAATATATAAAATATTTTAACATCGCCACAATTATTTTATTATACTGAAAAAAATTTCTAAATCTAAATAATTAAAAGTAGCTACATCTTTCTAACAGTCAACTACACAGAAAGAAATTAATAAAATAGAGCTAATGCGTATTCTAATTAATAATACAATCATTATTTCATGTATAAGCAATAATAATAAAATCTTAAATGGGTTTCATATATATATATATAATATATATATATATATATAATATAATCTTGAACATTTAATATTTAACAATATTATAATTTTATTTTGACCGAGTAATAGTCATCTAAAATATAGAAAAAGTCATGTAATGTAATTACGATAGATAATGAGGAGAATTATCTGCAGCCAATTAGAGCAATTTTTTTAAGGAAAAAAAGTATATTTAATAAAAATTTATTCTGATATCTACATCTTGGAGAAAATTTACTTTAAATAAAATTAAGATTTTTGAAGGTAATTGAGAGTTTACTTAAGAAATTTAAAGTGTGTAAAAAGTTAATCTCTCTAAAGTAATCTAAAAACTTTAAAGTATTTTAAGAGGCTGTCGTACTTTAAAGTAATCTTTAAAAAACCGAAAGTTTTATTAGTCCCATTGCATCTGTAATTTTTTAAGTACTTTTAAGTTTTAAAATAAAGTATTCATAGTTCTTATATTTAAGACCGTCTTAAGTATAGTTTTGACATGTCATGAACTAATCACAAAATCGTATTAGCTTCTTAAGACATTGCTTAAGACAGTTTGAAATAAGAATGGACTATAAATACAAACTCTTTATAATCTTACATATTAATAATTGTATATCTAAAGTTTTATACAGATTCAGTATATGTTTTGTAAAAAATTTGAAAAAATAGGGAGAAAAAATAGGTAAACGATTCAATAACCGAACATGAATCTGAACATTTACACAAAACTATACAGATTTGTTTATATTCTTATTAACCTCAAATACTTTTTTAAATATAATATTTAAAAAATATTATAAACATAATTTAATTGTAACCTTTAAATACAATTAAATTATAATATTGTAATAAAAAAATAAAACATTTGAAATCAATAAGGATAAATTTTACGTATCTAAGTGTCCAGATATATATCAGTACATGTCTGGGATGTTTATCTATTTAGTTTTCAAGCAAAAGCAGTTACGTATAATACTTTGCATTGTCCATTTAGCTTTCAATATTGAAGAGTATTTTTAATTCTTCCATTATTTATAATTCAATTTCAATTACGGTGTACATTTTACATTCATGTATTTATTTTTTATGTACAAGTCTTTTTATTTTTAATTCTTGAAAAGCTTTTCTGTTTGCATGGGCTCTCTCTTTTGCCAATATCCATACGATATATAATAGAAAACTAACACAGAGACCATTTCGCAAAAGCGTTGCGCGACAATAAAGCGGTATCTCAAAAAGGAAAACGCGCCGCAGATTAATAACGACGACGTCAAACAGTGCGCTCTCGCAAACCGAAACGCGGTACGCGTACGAAAATAATGCCCGGAGCTGTTAACTTTTGCGACTGACACAAAGCCCGGCCGTAATTAATGCCTTTAAACGTTTGCCGCGCAATGAGCTCCTTTTGTCAGTCGGATGCATTGTGTTGTACAAAAGTTTACAAACAGGTCGGAGCAGCAGCGCAATGTGCAGCCAGGACGCGACGCGACGCGACGCGACACGCTGTACCGCGCCGTCAGGCTAAAACGAGAGATTTTCATTCACGTTACGTGTGTCGCGTATGTCGAATGGAAACGGCAAACTTCGATTTTGTCCAGCGCACATGTCCTTTTAATCACTTAATTGTGTTAACGCTCGATTTCTGCTGCGCGGTCCGAAATCGAGGAAACGTGTCGCTCGTTCTTTTTTTATATTATAGCTGCGACAACATAGGCCTGTTCATTTTGGCTGAACCAGTTCATCTTTCTTCTTCTTCTTTCCTTCTAAAGAGAAAAGGAAGAAAGATAAACTAATGCGAAAGTTTAGTTAAAATGAACGGGCCTCACGCGACTGTAACTGCAATTATCACGAGATATTACAGAACTTTTGTTATGTCGTAATCTTTTTTTAAAGAAATTCATATTGTTATATTTTGAAGAAATTCGCGAAAATCAAGTTTTATATCATCTTGATGCCGAGGCAAGACTTGGGCTTATGCCGATCTTCAATGTTCTTGTTGAATATATAGTTTGATGAAAGATCTAACTACTCGATTCTTATTTCAAGATCGTTTTAAATAATCTTAAGATACTGATACGACTTTGTAACTGATTCATGACATCTTAAATATAAGAATCGACTATGAATACCGGTCGAAGAGTTTGATAACAATGCCACGATTATTAAGTCTTCAGATCGAAATATTATCGGAAACATACGTCACCGACACAATGTATTCGACAAAATTCAATTTCAAATTCAAACAATTGTGGGATAACATTTGTCGAATGTCTTGTCGTAGTTGTCGACAAAAATATTGATAGCAACTTAAAAATATGAGTGATATCACGTTGATGACAATATTGATTT